CCAGAACCTCTGACCTAGGGGCCATGAAATTCACAAATATGGAAGACGCAGTCTTCCTCGTCATAAAATTTTATGGCTCCAGGGTCAGGGGTTCTGGTGTTAGGGCGGAGCTCTATTGATTATATAGTAAAAATGCATTCATTCTTTAAAAATCTTTTCTACTTCTGAGTATTATATAAACTAACTTAGCACATAGTTATGATAAGCAAGAGTGCCTTTTCCAAAATTGTGAATTTTATGGCCACAGGGTCAGGGGTTCTGGTGTTAGGGCGGGGCTCTATTGATTAAATAGTAAAAATACTTTGAAAATATTTTCCTTTGCTTCTGGGTTTTATGCCGATGATCCAAGTATATATATTTATGATGAAGAAAGGTGCATCTAGCAAAGTGATTTTTTATGCTCCGTTGTTCGGGGGGGGGGGGGGGGGGGAGTTACATAGTCTGAAAATAAATTAATGCTTTGAAATCTGCTCTTTGTATTAATCAACCAGTTTATGATAAAATTTGCAAAATTTTGAAATGTGTGCATGGCCCCTGGGCCAGTGGTTCCTTTGGAGTGAGGTATAAAGTGGAAGTGCATTTTCTCTTTGTTACTCTGAACTACCTCAGCTGGGTATTAAGTAAATAGAGTAAGCATGCTAAGTTAATAATTATGATAAGCAATGGTGCCTCTTTCAAAATTGTGAATTGTGAATTTCATGGCCTCTGGTTTAAAACACGAACCAAAGAAGTCGGTTCACTTTATGCATAAAATGGCCTTGTAGATATACCAATTGATTGATCAACACTTGATTTTCAATTTGAAGCATTAAAATAAAATAGAGACTTAGTGCTTCATATCGTATTAAAAATTTTCTCCTAAAAGTCCAGGTCTTGGAGAACTGGCCTTATGAAATTGCAATGTTCTTGAATTTCTAGGTAAACAGGTATAATTGAGTACTTTCAGGGCAGAAAAATACTATGAGCGCACTCTCTGATCTAAAATATAAAACCTGTCTTCTAATTCTCAAAAACAATTCTATCATATACGAGTTGCATATTTTAGATCAGAGGTTGCGTTCTATATTAAATATTGAAAAATAGCTTTAAAAATTGGCCGTTTTTGTACACTATTTGACGCAATTTGTGACGTCATAATGCATTGAATAGCCAGAAAATTACGTCATTTTTGATAGATACGCAGTCACCGAAGATCCATGGGATATTTAATGCATTGTTAACTAAAACTATTGAGTTTCAGATTTTCAGAAATACACAGGGCCAAATAAAGCAAAGGTGAACCTTGTTCTTTAATTGTTTGAAAGTACTTTGTTACACAATACTCAGGTGACCAATAAGGCCCGTGGGCCACTTGTTTATTTAACACCCAGATGTAGAGAAGAAGATTTTCAAAGAAATAATGCATTTTCACTATATAATCTGTATAGCTCCGTCCTAGCACTAGAACCCCTATCCTGGGGCCATGAACTTCACAAATTTGAGATTGCTTATGCCTTTTATCCCAAAAAATAATCCATATAAATACGAAAATCCAATTAATTTTCTCAACGTTTTTTCTCTGATTACAATCATGCAAACAGTTTGATGTGTAGGAGTAAAGAAGAAGATTTATAGCTAAAGATTGCCATGAACTTCACAAATTTGGTAGAAGACTCAATGCTGATTGCAATCATGCAAACAGTTTGATGTGTAGGAGTAAAGAAGAAGATTTCTAAAGATTGCATTAAATTTAGTGGTTTTGGTCCCAGCCCTCAGGGGGGCAGGGACCATGAAATTCACAATTTTTATTCCCCTTCACCCATAGATACTTTGTGATAAAATTGGTTGAAACTCGTTGAGCGGTTGCAGAGAAGAAGCTGAAAATGTACGAATGTTAACAAACGACGCACACCGCACGACGACGGACGAAAACAGATAGCAATACTCAGGTAACGTAAAAATAAGTAGGGGTGCCCCGTATACGAAGCAGGTGCCTGTGGTGTCATTTCCACAAATATTAAATTGTTTGGTAATATTATAGCTTTACAATAATAAATTATTAATATTTTTGTATGGAAATGGTATATGTTTGCACACGTCTTTATTCCGTTGATTTCTTCATAGTAAGTAGTGATACGTATATAATGAACTTTTCCTTTTTCCTTGCCACTGGGGGCAAGTGCGCAATGTGACCAATTGGCCCCTTCTTCAAATACTGTCCTGAAACGAAAATGTTAATTAATCCTAGAATAAAAAATAATTAGCCACGAATTCATGCCGGAGTGACACTATATGACCCCATCAGATGTTCGGTTCTATGGGAACTATAGGCGACCTAATTGTGATCCTCTCTGAATCAATAAATGCCCAATATAGATTTTTACAAACTAGAATGAATCAGCTACTTGACAAAAATAACTGGTACAAAAAATATGTTTTTCCTACTCATCAAATAAAACTTAGATAAAAAAAATTCCTATTGTTATGTTTATTATTTAAGAGAATTTATTTGAATGATCTTCCTTTGTTATTCCCACTTGATCAAAGACACCGTCTCTTAAACCTTCATTCCCTGAGTGTTTAGCGCCGATGCGTAATGTATATATGATTGTTCAGAGGAGCTACTATGATCACCTCTTCTTATCAGGAAGAACGATGATTTACTGAAATCCGGGGGTTTATGACAGACTACGGCGAAACTAATTCCATCTTTATATCGTGAACTGAGTGTTTCATATTTTAAATATAAAACGCTCAAATGTATATAAAATGTACAATTGTATAAAAACTTAAACATGACTTTGTGAGAGATAGTCAATTTTCATAAAAAGGAAAAAGGCAAGAATATTGATATATCATACCATCTATATACCATAAGATTTCTGGATGTTTTATTGACTATAAATTTGCAGGGTATTGGTCACCTAGCACTTAGATTTACTGACAAACGAGATGACTCCAATTAGGTTTCATTAAAGGTCAAAATGTCCAAAAATTTATTTTTAAAATAGCTCTAAAACAATGAGGAATAAAGTTAAAACTTTTACAGTTTATAAATATATATAAATACCAGAAGAGCTTGTGCGATTTAGTAAGGTGTCCGTCATCCGTCTGACTGTTTTTAAACAATTTTTCAAAATGCTACTCCTCCTTCAGTTTTGGTCTGATTTCAGTATAACTTGGCACACAGGTACACTACACTACGATACATCATCCTGTGTATCCGATGAACGGTGTTGCCATGGTTACGTAGCTACTCCTCTTGGCACACAAGTATACTACATTAAGATAATAATTCTGTGTATCGGTTTTTGATTTCGATGAACTAAAAAAAAACTTAAAATAGAGATTTCTTTGAATATTTTAAAATGCTACTCCTTCTACAGTTTTGGTCTGATTTCAACTGATCTTGCCAGGAAAATGACTAAACCAATGATAAAGTTTTAATGTTTTGCTGTTGCATAGTTTAAAGTTTAACTGCAACTTTTCTCTTCCTTGTCATAAGTATATACCAGTAGAGCTACAGTCTCGTCAGAGACTTGTAGTTTATCGACTTAGGTCAGTCGCGGCCAAGTTTCGAACTCACGACCTTCCGATCATGTAGCGATATTCGGATTTTATAAGGGGCGTTATAATGATTATAACCATCCGGGCTGTTTGCTGCTTGCCATGTATCCAGATAATCTAAAAGAAGATTAACAAGCAAATCCTTTTTTCGCACATCCGAAAGTCCCTGGGTATGTAATTAATTTCACAATATTTGTGCCCCCTTCGAACAAGGGAGGCATATTGCTTAGCTGCTGTCTGTCGGTCTACTAACTGTATCCGTTCATTTTCTTCGAAGACAATAACACATATTGAAAAGAAATTTGGTATACAGGTTTTACATAGAATTTCTAGGTCGGGATCTGTTCGGGGAACGATCAAACATGCAATTTTTGACAGAGTTATGTCCCTTAAATTAAAAAAAAATTCCATTCATTTGCACGGTTTGTTTATATTCTTCACATGTAACTGTTGATTCAACGACTATGAATTTGATAATATTTTTAGAGGCGTATTGCAGTTTAACTACATGTAATTCTATATTTTCAGAGGCAGGTTTTAATATCCTTATAAATAGCTCAAACTATTTCATTCGTGCAAGTCTCGTTGCCAAGCAATTGGAAGTGGGGGCTTGATACGAGAATGTATAGCTGACGTTTATTGACAGGAGCCTGATACAACGTGGCCAGCTGGAGGTGCCCCTGTTGCATTCCTTCTCAGTCAGGTCATTCCGCGGGATAATAAAAATTCATATATTGCTTGGTTTATTAGTTGTTTTTTGAAAGAAAAAAAAATAACTGGATGTTGACCATGTTCACGTTAAATAATTAACCATATTTGATTTGAAAGATTGTCACTAAGTATATAGATCAGTTGCTGATTCATTTCAAATAACAATACTTGGAATGCAATATACTGTATAGTTAAGTTACATTTGCAATCTTTTGGAAGTAGGTGTCCAGATCAATTACTTTAATGACAATCAATATTTTATTAATAGAGATGACGCTTTAACTAGTGGTTTTCTTCATTTGCCATGTTTGCCATTTACTATTAACATGTATATTTATTGTTTCTCCTCCGCGAAGATGACTTCAATGTGACAAACAATATGATCGAACTAATCGTAAACGTCCCACCTAAGCATTATTTACGGTCGTGCAATACATATTTAAGCTGAGAATTCAAAATCTCTCGACATTTGCTTTGGAGCTTTCGTCTTGTGAAAGGCCAGCAAAAACACCACCACCATGAGCCAACTAATCTCTCTATTAGGACTGGTAGTACTCATTCAAATATGCATAGCCGGTAAGTCAAAATACGTTTTAAAAAATCTTGTACCGAAATTTTTTTATTATCAAAAAGTTCTGTCAACATCAAGAATAATTTTTAAACACATTAAATACAGAGAATAATAAATAGAATCATCCACTAATATCTTTAAAACCATTTTGGACAAAACAAGTCATCAGATTTATTTTCTTCTATTAATAATATCAGGCATAATAATTTTTTGCTAATGTTTAATTTTGTGTAGCTTTTTTCCTTGATCTTTGTTAATGCCGATATCAAATCTTTCATGGAAAGGAATTCTTATGGGTTTTTTTACCGATAAAAAAGGGGGTGTTGGAGGTTTTCTCGTAAACTGTCCATACCTGTCTGTAAGATATTTTGCCTGCCAGTCTGAAAGCTTGTAAATGTTGAGCTGATTTTTAGTATGTGATTAAACATCGATGAACTTTACTTTTTAATCCGATTTTACAAAATCACAGCCTTTATAATTTTTAAGAGGAACCAAATAACACTCGCGAATAGGAGACAATTGTTGCTTACACAATTCTCTTTGAAAAATTCTCGAATAACTTTCTAAATTATTTGACAAAAGAGAATTATTTATCTTTTCCATTATCAAGTTTATTTATAAAGTTCAATTTAATATAAATCAAAATTACCAGCATATAAAATTGTTTATGTCCCCGATTCTATTCTATAGTCGAGTGGAGTTATTCTGAGGACAACCAATTTTTTAAACCAAAGCGGGCTACTTACATACGATTTGATGTAAAAGTGATTTTAACATTTTAATATTTTCTAAATTCTTTGGTCATTATAATGCCTGGTAAGCAAATACAACCAATAATTGAATCGTAGTTTTGCAAACATGTTTCAAACCAATTATTAGACCTTTGTTTGATGCTAAATCTGACTGCAAAATATTCCTGTTCAATATATAGGTCTCACGGCGACCGCTTCCGGTAGAAGGGGTAGCTTACTCCCTATGAATACCCGGCATTTCTAGGGATCTGTGCAATATGCCCTGCTCATAGATTTTTAATATTAATGAGGTTTTCTTTGACTGAACGGTTACTTCATTGTCTCTATCTATATTTCAAGACTATTTAATCAGCACTAGTATATTGCCAAAGGACGCGTGTTACCCTTCAAAAGAAAGGGATATGTTAGGCAATGTTCTTCTCCTTAACTCAAATGAGCAACTTAACTGAACAAAGTCAAGTCTGGGTCTGCTCAAAACATGCAAAAGAAATATAATTAAAATTTCATATTTCTGCCTTAAAAATATTGATGAATATATGGAAATAATGAACAGTATTTAACATCAAAAGTCCATAAACCAATACAAAATAGGAGCAGAGTAACCTCCAAAACATCAGAGGGGGATCAAGTGCCATGGAGGAGTGAGCATTCCCTGTCGACCGGTCACACCCGCCGTGTGCTCCTTGTCATGATCGGGAAATAATGGAAAAATCCGTCGTCAGTTCAGTGTATACATAATGGACTAACAGTCGTCATTCATTTGACTCAATGATAAATTGTATTTTCTGACAATGTCATTTTATCGACCATAGAACTTTAGAAATGACGACTTTAAACGAGACTGTCGAAATTCTTTTTTTTTATCACCTTGTCTGTAGAAATTGTTCATACGTAGAGTATGCTCTTGCGTATCGAATCAACAGAGACATATAAACTCAGTATGCAAGTGTAGAAGGTATATTGCTACATAAGTAAGGGAAGTTGACGATTGTAAAGTTAAAGTAGTAACGTTTATCATAGAGTTGGTTTTAAGATTAACATTTACGTCTTTTTCATGTAAAATGTCCATATGCATGTATGAAACAGAAGCATTAAATGCATGTTGGAAACGTAGACCAGTTTCAGAGAATAAGCATCGATTTACTTCTTACCAAATAACGTGGTATATTGTTAATGTATGTGCGAGAAGCATTTGTGTCAGTTGCGGGCACCTGATAATGAATAAAACTTAGATTGTCCTTATCAATTTCGATTGTCAGTTAATATACTCTTGATAATAAAAGGTAGACCGCGCTTGCCTTCTTTATTATGAGACGTACTGACCCGTAGTGGACAGGCTGTCACACAATTTGTCTGGACGACAATAAAACAGTTGTAGCGAAGAGGAATTTGTCTCATTTGTCAATCAATCTGATAAATAGGATATTTCTATTAACTCGGCGATGTAAGGAGAAAGGTGTTTTATTTAATTCTTACAACTCCCGTGACGGTCTTTATTGGTTAAGGTTTTTATTATTTTAAAAAAGTCTCCCTGAAACGTCAATTTATGAATATATTTCACGGTTTTTCGTAAAAAAAAAACTAATATGATTTATTAAGAATAACATACATTTAAACTGTAAGATAATACACATAATTTATTCTTAAGTTTTGCTTGACAGAAAGCCGACAAAGAATTTTTTTTACATCAAATAAAAGGATTTTTTTAAATTAGTCTTGCATGATTGCGATATTTTTAATACATGTATTTGATAATATCATAATTATATATTAAGAAGCTTAAAATAAGAACAATTGCCGAAACAATAAAGAAAATTGGTTATAACTATTTTAGAAAAATGATTTCTAAATGACAGCAAAATTCCATGAAGATATAAACCCTACAAAATTTTTTAAGCCCTGCAGATATTAAGTATGTCATACATTCTTATTTCTGCACGACATTAATCTGAACACAATTTCAATTCTTTTTCCAGAAAATCCCCGTTATGACCCTAGATACAAGCGGGAAGCAACTCCAGAGAGATACGCAGAAAATCCCCGTTATGACCCTAGATACAAGCGGGAAGCAACTCCAGAGAGATACGCAGAAAATCCACGATATGACCCAAGATACAAGCGGGAAGCAACTCCAGAGAGATACGCAGAAAACCCACGATATGACCCAAGATACAAGCGGGAGACTACCCCCGAGAGATATGCCGCAGAAACCCCCTCAAAGAGATACAAGAGAAGTGCCATTCGAAGAGGGCGGTATGGAGCGGGACGTCGTGGCTTGAGGGTGAATGACAATGGTCGTATCATCAGACGAGGAGGCAAAAATGGCGGTCGTAAGTATTTTTAAAAACTGTTTATCGAAGCAACTAACTTAAAATTATAGCTCCTTCATATTATGATACTTTTACCACAGGAATGATGCAGAAAACCTTAATGCCATAGGTATTTTACACGTATTATCTTACAAAATTATACGACGAACTTAACTTCTATTTCCTAAAGGCCGGGAGCAGGAGCTGAACTACAATTTTTACCAATATGAGCCATCCTACTATTTTGACTCTCCGTCGGTATACAACTATGGACCCAGCGAATTGGACTGTTCATGTAAAAACACGGACTGTGGATATGACGAATTTGAAAGCGGCGACTGCCCCAACGATGAGAAGCGCTGTTGCAAATATGACTGAAGTTTGTTATATTTGAAAAAAATCTCGAACTTTTAATTTTTTTCAAATTTAGAAAATATATGTGTTGTATTATTTCAAACTCCTATATTTGTAATCAGGTTATTTCAATTGTTCTCAAATGTGCATAACGCTTTCAAATAAATTCAACAATTTACATTTTATTCTCTATAGTTTTTTTTTAAAAGTACGATTCGACTGAAATCAACCAGCTAAAATGGTTTCCTCTCTTCCAAAGGAGCTTGCTCCTGGCGTGCAATAATTATTTGTTTTAAAAAAAAATCATATACGATGATACTTAAGGGGTAATATTCCTCTGATAAGAGAGATAACTTTCTGAAGACAATATCCCATGAAATTCAATGAATTGTCATGTCGGATTTCATTCATAAGGACCATTTTAAAGTAGGCTCAGTCGAATCTGTTATAACATTCAGATGTGGATTTCTAGTTTCTATTGCCAATATTTTTTTTATCAATTATTTATAATAGTTTACCTAAAACATTTACACTAAGTTCCTTTAAACGGTGTAAATTGAGATATTTTTATCTCTTAACGTGTAAGTCATTTAATTGGTACAGAAATTTCAGATGCAGAATTGTTTATAAACATTTAATTAATATTTTGTTTCACTAAAAAATATTTTCAAGGGCAATAATGGAAAGATAACTCTTGTTGTTGGATGCGTATTTTTTTACAAGCACAGAAAACAGTTTGATATTCTGATTTAAAAAGCAATGCTTCAGTATGTTTTCTAATGAGAATTGGGTATGAGAGTAAATATTATTTTTATATATACCTCATATTTCTAATTTTATTATGAGAAAAAAAATAATAGATCTTTCTATTTACCATATCACATCATGATTTGACATATTATTCAGTTCTGAAAAAGTAAGCAACGCTTCATACTTCAAACTATTTTCCATTTGAATTTAATGCTCTTTTTGTTGATGAAAATCAATGTTTGGAATTTAAAAAAAATCGTGAAAGATATTTCACCTGGAGCAACACAAGGGAGGACAACATTCTGGACCCTTTCCTCGCTTCTATCTCTGTTTTCGTTATATTTTCCTGTATTTTACTGACTCACCGACTCGGATCTGTCAAGTAATGATTCTTTTAAGACATAAAGCTTGAATTTTCCCCTTGTAGCCTATAAAATTGAAATTTGAGACTAATAATAATCCAAACGCAGTCTTTCGGACAGTTGATTTGGACAGAAAACAAAAGTAATCTCGGTGTTAAACATTCGAATACGGAATTAGAAGGCGTTTCTTTTCCTTCAAATTTATAATTAGCAGCTGTTTTAACTTGTAAAAAAAATTCCGTGGTTTTCGAATATACTGTTGGGATAGAAAACATAATTTTCAAAAACCTCGTGGTTTGCATTGACTTAAACAGTTATCAAAGGTTTGGGGGGATGTAAAACAGCAATAAGATTTTGCACAAATTCTGCTTCATATGAATACAAAAATAGGTCTGCTAATAACGGCGCGCAGTTGGTTACCATGGGAATTCCAATAGATTGTTAGAAGACCTGGTCTCCAAAAAACATGGATATTGTCAATCAGAAACTCAAGCATCTTTTTGATGTCAACTTCAGAGTACTTGTGTGTACAATCAGAATGTTTTGACAAAATAATTTTGCAAATGACCAATGACAAGGTACGTAAATTTACAAGTTCCAGTTTTATTGAAAAAGCAGCTTTCGGTGATATCAGAAAGCCCAGATTTTTAGCTCTACTGGTCAGAGACCAGAAGAGCTTATGCGATAGTAATGCGTCCGTCGTCCGTCCGTCTGTCTGTCTGTCTGTCTGTCTGTCCGTCTGTCTGTCCGTCTGTCTGTAAACAATTTTTCAAAATGCTACTCCTCCTACAATTTTAGTCTGATTTCAATATTACTTGGCACACAAGTAGACTACACTAAGATACATAGAATAGTGCATCGGTTTTTGATTTCGGTGATGTGTTGCCATGGTTACTAAAAATAAATTCCTTTAAAACACTACTCCTTCCACAGTTTTGGTCTGATTTCAATATTACTTGGCACACAAGTAGACTTTACATAGAATAGTGCATCGGTTTTTGAAAATGGTTACTAAAAATAGAATTTTCTGTGAAATTCAAAAAGCTACTCCTTCTATTTTTATTTCAATATAACTTGGCACACAAGTAGACTACACTAAGATACATAGAATAGTGCATCGGTTTTTGATTTCGATGAACGGTGTTGCCATGGTTACTAAAAATAGAATTTTCTGTGAAATTCCTTTAAAACGCTACTCCTTCTACAATTTTAGTCTGATTTCAATATAACTTGGCACACAAGTAGACTACACTAAGATACATAGAATAGTGCATTGGTTTTTGATTTCGATGAACGGTGTTGCCATGGTTACTAAAAATAGAATTTTCTGTGAAATTCCTTTAAAACGCTACTCCTTCTACAGTTTTGGTCTGATTTCAATATAACTTGGCACACAAGTAGACTTAAGATACAAAATAGTGCATCGGTTTTTGATTTCGATGAACGGTGTTGCCATGAAAAAGTAGAATTTTCTGTATTCCTTTAAAAAGCTACTCCTTCTACAGTTTTGGTCTGATTTCAATATAACTTGGCACACAAGTAGACTACACTAAGATGCATAGAATAGTGCATTTGTTTTTGATTTCGATGAACGGTGTTGCCATGGTTACTAAAAATAGAATTTTCTGTGAAATTCCTTTTACTCCTTCTACAGTTTTGGTCTGATTTCAATATAACCTGGCACACAAGTAGACTACACTAAGATGCATAGAATAGTGCATTTGTTTTTGATTTCGATGAACGGTGTTGCCATGGTTACTAAAAATAGAATTTCCTGTGAAATTCCTTTAAAACGCTACTCCTTCTACAGTTTTAGTTTGATTTCAAAATAAGTTGGCACACAAGTAGACTACACAGAGATACATAAAACAGTGCAATGGTTTTTGATAAGTACAAACCAGTAGAGCTACAGTCTCGACAGAGACTTCTGGTTATTAATCGTGAGCAATGGTTGTGTATAAAGTTGAAAAGTCGTAAGTTTTTAAAGTGTTGATTATTGTAAAATCTTGTGATTTCAAATTGTCCATAAGTTCCTTGGAATTGATTTACACCACTTCTTGAATATATTAACGCATATGGTTTTATGGTAATCGTGCATTAATGTTCAACATGAGAGAAATTTTGTATAAAATATTTTGCCAAAAATTAGGGCATTTTATTTTAAAAAAAAAAACTAATTAGAATTGTTAATGATTTTGCAAAAGGGAAATTTTCCTTCGGTGAAAGTTAGAAAAGATATGTAAATGTAAACATGTACCAGTGTCATGACTATGAAAATAAAAGAGAAAAAAATTCCTATTTTGTATAATTTCAGACAATATGGTTTGGTCTTGCAAAACAAAAAATTTTATCAATATTATATTTTGTCGCCCGCGTGGCGCAGTAGTTAGAGCGTCTGCTCTAGAATCACGAAATAAGAAGTTGATCTGAACGTCGCGGGTTCGAATCCCACTGTGGGACGTGGAGACCGGTCTTTCGGATGATGCCGTATAAACAGGTCCCAGAAGGTGCTGGCACGATAAAGATCCATCCCTGCTCAATGGCCCTAACTGGCCTGAGTGCCGAGTACAGGACAACATTTGCAGCTCTCCACCGGCAAGTGGTGGCGTCTCTAAATGAGTGAAAAATTCTCAAGAGCTTGAAGAGGGACGTTAAACAACATACATTATATTTAACACATGGAAATGTTACAAGCTCAATGCTAACATTGGAATTATGGTATACATGAACTTTACCTCATTCTTTGATGAGCTGGGGTCTTGAATTGCAAAGAGCACCAACAGCTTTAACTATTTTGTTCACTTTCCTGACAGATTTCATAGAAATTGTGTTACTAACAGTTCTGTACTGCACACTCGACGACATGAATTCTAACTGAAGCAATTCTGCGAGACTCGATAACCTCCTTCTCAGTTAACTGTTTTCTACCTCTAAAAATGAGGAGATATTCAAATTAACACGAAGAGCAAACAATTCTTCACCAATTGTAAATCCCCATCTCCAATCACTTCAAAATCTGGCTGCAAGTAATTGTAGAACCCTGACTTCTTGTGATAATTTTTCACTAGCTCTGCCACCATAAAATTTTGACAAATACATAATATAACCGTTTAGAGCTATGCATACTAGAAAATTCAGAGGGTTGTGTGATTTGTAAATGCTATAGGTGGCAGTTCTTGTTTTTAATGACAGTGGTCTCTTTGAAGTTACACTTCTGTGCAATCTATAATGCAGGTGGTCTTAAGGTACGTTTCTCTAGATGACTTTGGCATAGATATTTGAATTGTTTCTTTTGGTAGACACAATATAAGATATTTCAATTCGCAGACAAAAGATTTATCCAGAATTGGAAGATGTTGCTAGCAAGCTGATATGAAATCCCAAACCTTTTACCCTAACCTTGAAATTGTAGTCCAAGACGTAGCCTTATTAACGTAAAAAAATTGCTTTTTAATGGGAAGTAAATATGGTGAGTGTTCACAATGTACCTTCATCAATTCAATCAATGTAGAAAGACAGTGAGCAATAATCCTGTATAAAATAAAAAAAAAATTCTGTGCATATTTGAAATGCTGAGAGTTCACGCCAAGTTTGAGTACCTTCACTTTTAACTGAAAATGTGTAATTGTTTAAATGCATAAATTGACAACTCTACACATGTTTGAAAATTTATTGAAAAATTACATGATATTTAGAGGACAGTTAGCGAGTAATTACAATTTATCGAACATCCTGGACAGTGTTTCAGCTAGGATCTGAATTTGGAGGGGTGCAAGAAAAGGGACACCCTTTCAAGACTGACCGTTTGTCGCGAGCTTTTGTTACAATTAGGCATATCTCATAACCTCACCCATATGAAAATGAATTGCTTCATATATTATTTATTTATTTAACCTTATTGATTTGAAAGATAATTTGATCTGAATGATACCTTATACACAGGCATAAAAATCCTTCCACGGAGCACATCTTCTCTCTCCTCTCAGTGTGGATTATACTTCACTCACAGAATGCCACTGGTCAATGGATGAAGTTTCTTGATCAAGGTCAAAAATAGCCTCTCTGTTTAAATCTCCGTTCGGGAGCTCTTACGCTCGTGTATTTGTACTCCAAACTCATGCTAATATTCACCAATATAAGCTCAATAACCTCATAACATTACGTTCATCTACTCTGTACAAATTAGTGATGCAGTTTTTAATATTCAAAAAAATATATATCCCTTTGGGATTAACGGTTGGAACCGTTGCAGATAAGAGGTTTTAGTGGGTGTTATATTGTTATCCCCCCCCCCCCCCGTCTGTTTGTCCGTTTGATCGCATAATCCTTTCCCGTAACTTTAGAATGGGTGGGGCTCTGATGTATGGCTTTCATATTTAACAGGTGTATTTTCTGTAACAATACCTTTCTCTAGGCATTAACAAATGTTGACCCATTGACTTTGGAATTTGACCCACTTTTTTTAAAAAAAAAAAACAAACCTTAACCTTGGCAATGAGTTGAACAGTTGGGCATGGGCTTTCATACTTCACATGCGTATTCATTGTGGCAAGACCTTTCAATTGGTATGAATATTTTTAAACTTTTTATCTTGAACTTACAGGTGACTCTCTTGGTGAGGAACTTGAACCTTGGCCAGTATTTCCTAAAACATCTAGTTTTTCCAGAAATGTCAAAACCCTTATCGCCGCATAATGAAACAAAAATTGTTAAAAATGAAATTGTTGATTTCCTTTAACTTTAGGTGCATTTCAAAATACTAGTTGAATTAACTCGACAGATATTTAAAGGAGAATTTTAGGGGGGGGGGGGTATTTATTCATAAAACAAAATTTTAATAATATTTAATGCCATTCTTTATATAAGAGCACAAAGCGTTATAATTTAATTTTGGTTGTATTCTGGCCCCTCACTGGTTGATTTCCAAAAAGGAAGGCAAATTATTTTGTATAATCTGGTTTGGTATGGGGACACAGCCCCTTCACGACCAGCTTAATCATCTTATCCATGCAAACCCCTCATTTCCAGTCCTCGGAATCCATGGAAAATTCCAGATTTAATGAATGTACCTTTAACTTCAAACAGTTACTCGTTCTTACCTCATGTAAACAAACATCATGGCTGTTAGATCTATGTATCAGTTATTACCTCCCTCGCTTCAAATCACTACCGTTACTACGGTTGTATTATTGCGCGGTATATTTAACTCATAAAAAGCAACACAATTTTACATCCAAAGTTGTTAAATTATTTTGAAATTAAATTATAAGGAATGACTCTAATTCTTGGCCATATTATCAAGAATTTGGAGTCATTCCTTAAATATTTGATGAAATTAACGTATACAGTTAACTTCACGTTAACTCTACGAAAACGTATGCCAGTATATTTTTTTTCTATTCTTATTTTTTATTTATGTTAGAATTTATGATAGGGCGTTTGTTATATTTGATGTACTTTAAAAATTGATTATAATTAAAATTACAAAATTAATAATCTCCTAGTATGTTTTTTTGTCAAACCATATACAACAATATTTTAGTACGACATACATGATGATGTCACAATTTTAACATTTTTAGTGATCCAATTAAAGGCTTGCTGAAATGTTCAAACTTATTTCCTATAAAAATCACAATATAGCACTCAGAAGTCGAAGGTAAAAATTGCATTGGAAAAATAGGTAAAAAAAAGGTAATGTAGAACAAAAACAATAAAGATTTCATTATTGATGTGGAGACTTTTGTTTTGCAGCCTCATGAGAGGTGTCAAAATCCTTAAATGGCCCCGTAATTGAAGATTCAGGAGTATGTAGTTTTTGCCCTGCCCATCCCTCTCTTTTTTTTTTGTCTGCAAAAACTTTAACCTTGCCCATAACATTTGATTCGTTGGCTTTCAAATGTATATTTCTTCTTACAAGACATCTATTAGGGTACCATCATATTTGACCCCTTGAGCCTGACTTAGGAGTTTGACCCACGTTTGCAAAGAAATACTTAACTTAACATTGGCCATAACTTTTGAACAGTTGGCCATATTTCACATGTGTTTTTATCCTAATAAGACCATTGCATGGGTGAAAAAAACGTGTACTTTTGACCTTGGCCTTAGAGTCTGTACACTACTTTAATTATGGTCGTAACTTTTGAACAGTTATATTTCTTGTGACAGGACCTTCCTTTGGATACCAACAATTTTGACCTTGGCCTTTCAGTTTGACCTATTTTTGAGAAACTGAACCTTCGAAATAAGCTGCCATATGAGGACATCATTGTTTCACAAACACATCTTGTTTTTTTCAGAAATTAATGCTGTCAATACTTACAATGTACACGGAACTTTAAGGTAATATATGATTCTAACAATGTATAATTTTAATGTGCAACATATCAAGATAAAAGTTTTGCCTCTCGTTCGTCAGTTCTCAAATTTTTGAAACAATTTCTGTTTGAGCTCCGAGCTTCATTGCTACACCACTTAAAAAGATTATAAAGCAAAATAAAGGGATTCTTATTAAAAATATGCAGAACACTACATTTGTTAAAATCGTTGTAATGTTTTAATTCTGCCACAGTATTTTGTATATATTTGATATGAAATTAAAATCAAACAGCCATTGAAAAATCCACAAAATATCACCTTTTATTTATTTGGATGGGACAAGGAAAGTTAAGGGTTAACAATAAAAATATATATGATTTTTACTAAATACAAAACTTGCTAACATCACAAAATGGACAGCATATAAATAAGTTTGTTTTTCAACGTCAAGACCGGAATAAGAAATTACCCTGTGTGAATTGTCTACATTTTACAGCGGTGGTATTTACAAGAGACAGACAGCGATGCGCGGTAAAATACAAGATAGGGGGAGAAAGGCGTGAATATATAAATAGTTCATAACTATTCATGAGAATGTGATAAGATGCTATTTTTTTCTCAATTTTCAGGAAACTGCAAAAATTCTAAGGCACAAATAACAATGAAGTTGGTCAGATTTGAACAATTTAAAAATTCTTCTTTTTCCTCACTTCTTATTTTAGTATTAAATACAGCGAATAGGTAAGGCATTTGTACTAACGCTGTAATGATACTGCTTTTTTATCGTTTTATAAAAGATACTAAAACACTGCCAAGAAGTTTTTTGTCATGTTATTTTACTTTCACCACGAATACAGCATTGTTTCCTTTAGCACTAATTTCTCGTTACACCTCTACTGCTGTCGTACACCTCGTTATTCTCCACAACCACTGGTAAATCAATGAACCAAAATTTCAAATTAGGACAACAATTAATATGTTCAACAAGTACTTTCTTGTAATGAATTCGGACTCGTTGAATTGGTCTCTTTTTCGTGATAAACGTTTTAACAGGTATCCTTTCCGTTTTGTAAACTGGCGCCTTCTTAATCATTGTTTTCTTGACTACTCCCATTACGGGGGGCTTTTTGACAACTTTTGTTACTTTCTTCACAACTGGTTCTGGGATAACCTCCTGTGGAATAGGTACTCCAACCAATGGCGGTAAATCTACATCCGGTGGATTCCCAATTAATGGTTCTGGTTCTGGGAACACATTCGGTTTGTCGTACGTTGTTTCCGCAAATGTGACAGGCGGTCGTAGCATGACCTCCTCGTATTTCTGTACGGGAATGTCCACTACAGCCTTCTTGTGGATCTCATTCCAAATTATCCTTTCCTCTCTGAAAATTTCGTAATCTGTGTATGTTTCTGGAACCTCTATGACTCGTGTTTCCCCGGGACAGACATTACGGGGTTGACGAAACCAAAATTTTGGACAGCCCATCTCCTGTCGAAAACATTTACAGTCCCCAAATATTCCCTCCGGGCCCACAGGTCTGTCAGTCAATGATTGTTTTGCTATCACTGAAAGAGAAAAAAATATAATCAAACAATATATCAATTCTTAAATTCAGAAAAAAGACGTAAATACAGCTTTTCAAGGGGGATTCATAATATAACCTGAAAAAGATTTGACAAGCCTAAAAAATATCATGATCTAACTACTAATACTGTATCAACTAGAGCAAAGCTCGTTGCAAAGCAACGAGAAGGTCTTCCGTCCTGTTTGACCGGAAGTAACTTTCATTTTTAAAAAAAATGAGTAATAGAGTCCTAAAATTGTTTAAATTCTCTAAATCTATGTTATGTAATGCAAAAATTAGTCATTTTTGCTACTTCCGGTTTGACCGGAAGTGACGACGACGGACGAAAAATTAATTTTTATGCTCCCAGTGACAGATGTTACCAAAAAACTTGTCAAAAAAGGCAAAATATGCATTTTCCGACTACTTCCGGTTTGGGCGGAAGTGACGTCGCTAGACGTACTTTGACGACCTCAATAGATTGAGCTTAACATTTTGAACAACTTTGCTTCTTTGACTTATTACAAATTCTCAATACTTTTTGAGATATAAAGGAAAAAATTTTGGTCCCTCTTGGCCCTTAATTTTAGGGGCTCGCCCTTTTTCCGAGATATTATTTGAAAGATCTTCTAATTCTGCACAATTTATGTTCTATATATTTTAACAAAATATTTTTAGTTTAGAAGATAAAAAGCAAAATATGAGTAATTTTTGGCTCTTTTAAGCGTTCTAATTTTTGACCCCTAAATAGCGCCATTTTGAATAGACAAATCGAAAAACAAAAACCGATGTGCACAACTTCAATCCTTCTATTATCTAAAATCAGTAAAATTTCTGCTCCAGCTTTAGCCGTCTCTGAGCCTTTGTCTGGAAACGAAAGCCTATAAATTTTCGTTTAAAGGGAAATAACTCAAAACCGGAAGTGACTTTTTGAAATTTTTGACAGCAATCTGATAGAGTTTAGTAACTTCTAGTACCTCTGAAAATTTGAGCAAAATCAATTGAGAAATGAGTGCGATATGAGGCTTCAAAGTTGGCGTCTAGGAAGTAGAAGAAAAAAAAAAAGAATAACTAGAGCCGAGCTCGTTGCAAAGCAACAAGTAGGTCTTCCGTCCTGTTTGACCGGAAGTAGCTTTCATTTTTAAAATAAATGAGAAACACGCCTAAAAATGGTTTGAATCCTCTAAAGATATGTTAATTAATGCAAAAATATGCAAATTTTTGCTACTTCCGGTTTAAGGAAGTGATGACGACGGACGAAAAATTAATTTTTATGCTCCCAGAGACACATGTTACCCAAAAACTTGACAAGAACGGCAAAAATACGCGTTTTTGACTACTTCCGGTTTGACCGGAAGTGACGACGCCGGACGTATTTTGACGACACAAGTAGATTAAGCTTGACATTTTGAACAACTTTGATTCTTTGACGTATAACAAATTCTCAATACTTTTTGAGATATCAATTAAAAACTTTCGGCCCCTCTTGATCCCTTATTTTAGGGGTCAGCCCTTTTTTCGAGATATCAATTGAAAGATCTCAGAATTCTTCACAACTTTTGTTCTTTATGTTTTAACAAAATATTTACAAGTAAAATGATATAACAGAAAAAGTGTTAGACATTTTGAAAGGCTCAGTATTACTTTTTTCAGTCCATACCGAGCGTTAACGTGCAGTACTTCCGGTGAAAGTTAACAACACAATGCAAATCTACATATGTTGCTCTATCTTCCTGAAAAGGTTTCATCTTCCTGTGTTGAGCGGTTTTTAAGAAGAGCGACGGACAAACTGACCCTTAAAAATCACAAAACTGCGAAAATCTCCGAACCGGAAGTGACGTCATCAAAATAAAAAAAAAAGGGTATCGAGATATTTTAATGTTCTATTAGACCTGAAAGTTTCATAAAAATCTATCGAGCCGTTTTCGAGAAATCGCGTGCACAAAATCGGTAAGAAAAAAAATAATAAGAACTAGAGCAAAGCTCGTTGCAAAGCAACGAGTAGGTCTTCCGTCCTGTTTTTCCGGAAGTAGCTTTCATTTTTAACAAAAATGAGAAATAACGCACCAAAATGGTTTGAATCCTCTAAAGCTATGTTAATTTATGCAAAAATAATCAATTTTTTGGTACTTCCGGTTTGACCGGAAGTGACGACGATGGACGGAAAATTAATTTTATGCTCCCAGAGTCATATGTTACCAAAACACTTGTCAAGAACGGCAAAAATACGCATTTTCCGACTACTTCCGGTTTGGCCGGAAGTGACGACGCCGGACGTTTTTTGATGACCCCAATAGATTAAGCTTGACATTTTGAACAACTCTGGTTCTTTGACGTATTACAAATTCTCAATACGTTTTGAGATATAAGAAAAAAACTTTCGGCCCCTCTAGGCCCTTAATGTTAGGGGCCAGCCCCTTATAGTTGATATCCGTTCAAAGATCGTGACATTCTTAACCAAGTTTTGTTCTATGTGTTTTGATAAAATATTTACAGGTAAAAAGATACTGTTGAAAAAGTGTTTAAATTTTTCAAATTTATGATAGACCATTTTTCGGACCATAGCGACCGCCGACGTACGGCGTTTCCAGAAAAAGCCAAATACGAAAGGCACATCTACAGACATAGGTCTATCATGCCTGAAAGTTTCATGTTTCTATCTCAACTCATTTTTCAGAAAAACTCTGGACAACACAACCCTTTAAAATTCATAAAATCGGCAATATCTCAGACCGGAAGTGACGTCATCAAAAAAGAAAAAAAAAGCATAAGGTTCAAGTGATGATACATGAGTCCTGAAAGTTTCATGAAAATACATCAAGCCGTTTTCGAGAAATCGCGTGCACAAAATCGGTAAGAAAAAAAACAATAATAAAAGTGAAAAAGAAACCTAAGAATAACAGAAAGGTCTTCCGCTGAAGACGGAAGACCTTAAAAACAGTGGAAAAGAAACAAACGAATAACAAGAAGGTCTTCCGCTGAAGACGGAAGACCTTAATAATCTTTACCAACAGAATCAGTAGAAGGTCTTCCGTTGGAAACGGAAGACCTTAATAAGGAGAACCTTTCAATGACTATTGACCAGTATGGCTATGTTGGAGAAAATAAATCCGTCTTAAACTATATAAGTGAATAAGTTTTGTTTATTTATTGCAGAAACTTTTTTTCGATTTTATAATTCCATGGAATACTGTACACCTCATTTAAATCAAATTAAAACTTCGTCATGTCATGGTCTGACATAAAAATCATTCCGAAAATAAAAGCAGTGCTGCTTCATACGTCATTTTTAAAAAAAAAAAATTTAATCACATCCCTTAGTTCTAGAATAAATTCAATCTTGGAAAGATTTTTTTAAAATTTTGAAATTGAGCAGATCATTATGATCCTTAATGGACTATTGCGAGAAGCACTGACTTATAAGAGTTGACAGTTTGCTTTAAACTTGTTTGAGGGTAGGGTAGTTGTCGGATTCTTCAAAGGCAACTTATGTATGCTTTATTCCAGCCCGTTATTCTCGGTTAATTAAATGACGAGCTAATCAAAATATTTTCATTGCAAGCGAGCTTTTCGTATGTTGTCCAAGTGTAAAAGTAAGCCCTTTACTTTAAAAATCAGCACTCCTCGCAAATATTGTTACAGTATTCCGTATTAGCCGTAGAGACTGTGTATTTCTTGGATAATTGAATATCGACTGACAATCACTGACAAATGCTCCCTTTGAAGTAGATAGTTTAGTAGACACCATCATCCGAAGGTACGGAAAGACTTGTCAAGGACAACAGAGAATGTCCGCAGATAAAACAGCTCAGATTCTAATAGAATCTTCACACTATCAGTATTATAACTTGACAATTCATAGTAACAAGTAGAGGTTTTTAAAAAAAACTTATCGTCTTTAGCAACAATCTTAAACAGTAAACTGATCAGATCTACACCTATCAGGCCGTATAATTCTTTTGAATTTCTTGATTTTGTATTTCTACATAAGCTTTTTACTGGCATTAGCCCTACCACGGTTGTCGCTCGGTCATTTCCGTAAACTTTGACTGGGCGAGAGCTTTCGGCAAACCTCGGCTGATTCCATTCCCTTCTTCAAACAAGAAAGGGGAAAAGAATAATAACAAATTGTAAAGCCTGCAAGCAATAAAAATTAAATTTTATTTGTAATGAAATTAAAGAGATCTTTTTATTTAATGCTATACAAAAAAAATCATGTTATTAGGAATTAACTAGATATCATTGAGATGGTGGCCATCTCAAAGGGCCCCGCTTTCAACAATGAACATGAAATGTAAGGTAGTTTAAAAGGGTTTATTTTGAAGAGGAACATTTGTGTAATAAAGTAAAAGTCATTTAGTACGACTTCACGGATATTGCGAATTTACAGATATATATCGAAGTTATCTTGTATCCCGTTATATAAATTAACTGGAATTATTAAGGTGAAAAAACTATGCACCAAACAAAGATTTTAAACAAAGAGGCTAATTCTGAAAATGACCTAGAAACTTCAACCAAGGTCACTGCACATCCATTGATTAGTGGCATTCTGTGAGTAAAGTATGAGCCAGATTGGGCTAAGGAGAGAGAAGATATGCTACGGACAAGAACAACTAAGGTCACTGCACATCCATTGAGCGGTGGCACTCTGTGAGTGAAGTATGAACCAGTTTGGGCCAAGGAGACAGAAGATATTCTCCGGACAAGGATTTTTCGTATAATTGTGCTATGACCTTGACCTTTGACCTAGAAACTTGGTTCAAGGTCACTGCACACCGGTTACCCAAAGGCACTCTGTGGGTGAAGTATGAGCCAGATTGGGCCAAGGAGAGAGAAGATATGCTCCGGACAAGGATTTTTCATATAATTCTGCTATGACCTTGACCTTTGACCTAAAAACATGGTTCAAGGTCACTGCACACCGGTTACCCAAAGGCACTCTGTGGGTGAAGTATGAGCCAGATTAGGCCAAGGAGAGAGATGGTATGCTCCGGACAAGAGATCTCGGACGGACAGCCGGACGGACGGACGGACGGACAGACTGATCACTATAGGGCCCCCGCTAAGCGGGGCCCTAATTACTGCTGATTTTGTTGTTCGTTTTGTCATTTTTTTAAGATTGAAAATCTTGCAAAATTGTTAAGTCGTACGAAAATTAGATCATCAGAAAGTTATCTCCCTTGCCTTGAACAGCATTTCAACCAATGAAATAATTGAAAATTTTCTCATCATGCATTTTCTACCAATCACAAAAGAGAGGAAGTGCATAGTCCGAAGACTGTAAAAAACTTCAGCTATACAATACCGTCTTCCAAGGAAGACGGTAATAACAAACGTACTGACACAACTTGTTAAAAAACTTCTGCATAAGTACATTCCGTCGGAGCTTTTCTTTAAATCTTCAGAAAAAACAGTAATATTTATGAAAAACAATAACTTTTAAAAATATTACTATAAAGTTTAAAGATAAAGATGACTATAATAGGAAGTAATTGGATTACACTGTTGTAAATGTTAAATAAGATTATACATGAGTTTTAGCTGTACTTCTATATAGGTAAAACACGCAATGGCATAGCAGTATCAAAGTATGTATAGTAAAATTAGAGTTGTCTTTCTTTTGGTTGTCTGGGTTACAAATTTATTGTAATGAAAATATGTTGTAAACTGTGTTAAAACTGAATAACATGCACAAAGCACTGCTATTTAGGAATATAGATTATAAAAATACATATATATTCCGGAACTTGTAATTTGAAAAGACTTTCGAAAGTAAATAGCATTTTAATTCGCTGTTCAAAACCGTTCACAAGATGTTACTTAACATATTACTGATTGACACATTAACATTAAGTCTACGCAGGGTTGTCACCCTTGGAGTTTGGACAAGAATCCTTAAGGTTCATTGATACTCTTATAAGAAAGATAACTCTTAATGATATAAATGTATATTATTCCTTTACAGATTTGTCAAATTGAAGTGTCTTATTTGTCTTATTTTGCCCCGCAAACTATGCTAGAATTGTTTGTATTTTACGTATAAAATACGAGGGTCATTTAAAAATACGTAGACAATGTTTCTCCTCCTAATATTAATTTTACAAGATTAAAGATCAAAACATTTTCATATGTAAAACATTTATTTTGTCGATATGTGAAGTTTCAATCTTTTTGATTAAATGGAACTTGTGTTAGCCAAATTTAAAAGCAACATGTTTTGTCACCACGGAGCACGGTTAACAACAATGTAACGTCAAAAAAGAATGTCGAGAAAGTTTATCAGAATTACTCTTGTTTTGAATTTATACATGGTTTACAGCGTCTTCTCCATTTATAAAAGCGTATACATAACACTTAACACCTAGTTTGCTAATTAGTTTAAGTTAAATTATCAATGTTTTCAAATTCTTTACCGCGTATCTGATTTCACTAGTTTTGCAACAGTGACGTGCATATCACGTTTAATGACGTTACTAACTCTTGAGACAAGATTTAAACTATATTCTATTTATTCAAAATTTCTACCACTCAAAAATTGTTTTTATAATATATACAAATGCAAGACTCATTTCTTATATTTCCTGGTTCCTCCAGCCTTTTTCAGAGTTTTTTGTAGAGGTTTCCCGGATGTATAACAAAATTTTATTGCTACTCACTACTCCGTGACGTCCTTTGGAGTCATTGTTTTTTGCTCTGTTTAATCAAGTCTATTTGTCTTTAGAAACTGATATCTTTTAAACGAAGCGATTCATTACATTACCTTTTAGTATCTGATGTAATAAAATATTAAAATATTTCTAAATATAAAGATGTGAATTTAATTTAATTTAAGCGCCAATTATTATAAGCATGACTATAAACATTATAAAGTTTATAATAGTAAATAACTCAATTTTGACCCTGCTCCGTGACCCAATTTTGCTATCTTAAATCTTTGATAATTTTTATAAATATCAACATATATTCCACTTTTTCACTCAAATTATTTGAATCTGTCGCTAAAATATGTGCAACAAAGTTTGTTGCAATATGACGTTAAGGTGGGATTCTTCTCTGGTTTCTGACTAGATGGAATATTCAAAGTACATTTGTTGATATGTCTTATATATTTAGATGTAAGAGATTTAAAAGACCATATCTTTCTTTCCTCATCACAATTATACAACTTTTTGGAAAAAAGTAATGACCTTGACCTGACCTTGCCTCTAATATTAAACGGTCAAATTTAATCTCACTGATACCATCACTTAGTGATATTGTCCTCTTGATTCTGTGAAAATTTCAATAATTTTTAAATACAAGAAATGTGAGAAGAATCCTACCTTAAATGAAAAAGTTATGACAAAAGTCTACGAACTTTTTGAATAACCCTCGTACATTTCTTTTGGATGAGCATTAAGGTTCAAGCAACATTTTACATGAGTGAGCAGAGGGTTTATGATCTTAAAATTCCGAATTTTTTAAAAGAAAAAAAAATATATGAGGATTCCGAACAAACCTTTTGAGGTATAATAATCTGTTCTGTTGCCATTGTCTAAAAACCATATGGCTTATAGGGTTATTTCATTGTCTAAAAACCATATGGCATATAGGGTTATTTCAAAGCACATATAAGTTGTCATTGAAGAAAGCAGCTACAACCCTACCCTGAACTCCCGGCCCTCACATGTTAGTGCCCCTACCGCGATACCTATGAGCACTAAAAAGGTTTCCCTATCTATTATCAATTCTGTACGTCCGTAAAAGATACAGGTTTAAATGTGATCAAGTAAAGGCCAATCTCTACCCAGAGTTACCTGTGTCAACGTCTAAAAGTAGTACGGAAAGCGGAGATATGTGAATTTTTCAAATGTTGTTTAAAATGACCAACAGGAAGATTAACACCTTTACATTTCTGTATATGTGTCGTTACTGCAAGTTTGTTGTCTGTAAGAACTTAACCAAGTTGATATTTGTTGACAATGCGTTCTACATTTTCCAATATCCTGCCGAGAAATAATCCCTTGTAAGATATGTCGAATTAGCTATATCTATTATTAATTTTCATAAATAAACTTTCATTTAAGATTTTAAAATGCAAGAGTACAAAATTTTAAAATTGATTAGTTATGATTCAATGGCTAGAAGTAAGGTTTTGCCAAGAATCTTGGCATTTAGACGTTGACAGAGGTGTGTAGCGAAGCGTAATACGCCCTCTGACCGTGCTTCTCGCAAAAGTCCAGTCCTTTTCTGAGTTATCTCGCTTGTGACAGTTTGAAGTCAAAACATCTCTCCTTTTCCTGCACGTGATACACCCTCGACCAATCACACTGACTGATTATTCCGAGGGGTTATTTGTGGACTCCGCAGCTTCGAGAGATATTTTTGTAAGACCCTTTAGTATTTTCACCAGCTGTCATATTCCAGGTAATGATGTATATATATATATATATATATATATATATATATATATATATATATATATATATATATATATATATCAAGACTGCCATGTCAAATCGGCTCGTCTTTACGTAGTAGTTACTGAGCTTTTTCATATCAATCGTGCTACAAGTTGTATATTTTAGGCATAAATCACAACGTTTACGGAAGATCCTTATCTGTTAAATATCTTTTATACATGCATTTAATTCTGTATTAACTCGATAAAACACATAACTTGACTTAACCCTAAACCACATAAAAATGATGTAGACAGATTTTCCAGGTGGAATTAATTTACGATGTGTACGCCGTCCCCCTAGAAATGTACAGCCTTGGTCCTTGAGTGTAATGGGCATACAATATTGTGATCCAAAAATACATGTAACTGTCTACGAAAAAATACCATTTTAGTATAAATAGAATCAAAAAGATTCAGGAAGAAGGGAGTGTGTTGGAGTGTTTGAAAAGGTTTAAGCATTTCTGCATTGTTTTCTTATGCAAGTAACCAAATGTAATGATCGGTTTTTTAATATCCTCTGAATTAACTTTACAATCGTCCGTCCTGCAGATATCGGTCTGCAGTGTTGTTTTTTATTACCAAATATTTCAAGATCTTGCGTTCGTATAAGATACAAGATACAAGATTTTATTAATCCAGTTTGGGCCTCCGGAGGAGCAAAGAGATTTACAAACAGAAGAAAGAGGAATCAAAAACAAATTTAAAAAACGTCAAAGGTCTTTTAAAAATTCTTACGTCATAAAAGTAACAGGATATATTTGAGTGTATAAGAAGTAAGCGACCCTGCTGCACTAGAGACAAGCGTTTTGATTGATTACGCCAAGCTTCCAGAACACTAATTCTGACTGGTAAATACAATCGTTTTTCTTCTTCTCTAGACAGTTCAAATATTTATTGCAAATGAGAAATACCATATGACAAAAAGAAATCATCAGTACTTGAAATAGAGGCCTGTACCATTATTGACCGATTATCAATATATGTTAAAAAAGGAGAAAGAATGAATATTGGTAAAGGTTGCGAATCAATGGTCTAATGATTGATATAAAACATAGGATGAAGTGAAGGTATAAGAAGATAATCTACACAGAATAAACTTTTATACAACAAAAAACAAGTTTAATAAAAAACATTAATACTCACTGCACATCCGCATTTCTGCAAGTAGAAAAAAGAGAGGTAAGATGCATATTATTAAAACTCATGATTTAACATTAAAAAAATTTCTTTAAGATCATTATATGTTTATAACTTGCTTGTTACAATGGTAAACGCAAAATTTCTGATACAGTTACAGAATAGTTTTTTAGATTTAAAGAATCTTGTAAGAAGTCTAAGAATGTGACATTTAAATTTTGCAATACTTAACCGAATATCTAAGCCTGATAAGAGTAAAATTAACACTTATTTGTTTAAAAAAGAGGAATTTGTACCAGTTAATGAGTCGTGAATGTTTTCAAGATCATCGTGCTAGTGTGTTTTATCACATGTTTAGTGACCCATTCATAATTAAGTGGTAGGAACTGTATTGAACCTGTTTGGTGTTTGTTTTCATTTAAAGATTTTTCCGGGAAAAATCAATTACTTAGCAATCAATACATTTACCTCAATTCTTTACACACTCTAACAAAGTTATAAATACACCTGCACAAAATATGCATTAATCTTAGAAAATAAGGAAGGAAAATTAAAAGTTTAAGTTTTCAATAAAGTCTCAAACTTTTTCAGAAATACTTCCAACCAAATTTTATATACTTCCATTAAACCTTTTGTGAACTATGAAAATTAAATTAATAATTTTTTTAACGTTCAGTAATTGAAGTTCCATAGATTTCAGAAGTGTTAATAAAAAAACATCAATTTTTCTTTTTTCTTAAAGGAGTATATATGATAAGAGCCAATTTTGGCCCCTAAAAATCAACATTTTAGAATGACATTCAGATATGTTTAATTGATATTTATTTTTTAGAAGAGATTATATTAGAAATATTTCCAAGATATTTTTCACATTTATATGCACTCACTAGCTGTAAATGACATTAGAAATAATGCTATTTTTGCTATCTAGCAAAAAAGCCAAAAATATCCCTTTTTCTTGATGTTTTTTCTTATGGGAAACATAGAGCGCAGTGTAGAACATACGTAATTTTTCTGTCACTAATTAGTATTGGATAGATACATCTTTGGTAAAAATATAAAGCTTGTTTTAGGCTGCGCTCCATATTTTCTGGAAGAAAAACTGCTTGAAAATATGCAGTTTTATACAAAATATGCTAAAATGGCGGGAAAACGTGGTTTTTATGATGTCATATTTCTAAAATAACGGCATTTTGATAAAAATGAAAATGACCAATAAAGGTCGCATATATAGCTGTACAAATTAAAGCTATATATAAAGTAAAATTAAGATATTTATTTTAAGGGGCCAATTGAGACATTTACCATATATCGCTCTTTCTTTTGTAAGTTTTTGAAAAATAATTGAAAAATCCACGTTTTATCATAATTCACAGACAGGTTTCTCCAGGAGGCATTGTTATATCATATGAAGTCCCATTAAAAAAAGAGATATTTAGAAACAGCAAATTTATAGTCACCATTGTGTGATCTTGCCTAGTTTCTGACTAAATCAATTACATTTGCTTATGTCATATGAATTTAGATGAAAGGGATTTGCACATCATATTTTCCTTTCTCACAATTGTTTAAACTTTAAATAAAGATTGTATTCTGAGATAAAAAATTAGCAGGGACCATACTTTTGGTGGAGGTGCGGCGTATAAAAATATCTGACTCCTTTTCAGATTCTTACAGTTGCTACAAAACAATGCATCTACTTGAATCTTTTAATAATCAAAGACTTAAAAGATATATAGTGACTAAAATTTAAAACTTTGGATTAGGGTTAAGAATTTATCAAAACAAATATAATTTTCTAAAAAAAAAAGTTTTACGACTTGAAAGCTTCTAATGTAAGAAAAGATCTGAGTAAAATTTTTTTTCTTCTCTCAATGTAGACTGGAAAAAAATTTCTTTTCTCTGTGCCAATAACGAAAAGTGATCGATTTCGGAAATTCTGTAAACAATACAATAATATAAAGAGGACCCCTGAACTTTCAGAGGTGGGATAAAATGGAGACCTGTGCATTCCCTGTTGATGGGTCACACCCGTTGTGAGTCCTCATGACTTTCATTGTAGTGGACGTTTAAGCATTATCACCGTACGTTATCTTAATGTCTCATTCATAATGTCAAGGAAAAAGCTAATGACCTTAACCAGATTATCACCGTACGTTTTCTTAATGTCTCATTTATAATGTCAAGTAAAAAGCTAATGACCTTCACCAGATTACCACTGTACGTTTTCTTAATGTCTCATTCATAATGTCAAGGACAAAGCTAATGACCTTAACCAGATTATCACTGTACCTATCTTAATGTCTCATTCATAATGTCAAGGACAAGGCTAATGACCTTAACCAGATTATCACCGTACGTTTTCTTAATGTCTCATTTATGTCAAGTAAAAAGCTAATGACCTTCACCAGATTACCACTGTACGTTTTCTTAATGTCTCATTCATAATGTCAAGGACAAAGCTAATGACCTTAACCAGATTATCACTGTACCTATCTTAATGTCTCATTCATAATGTCAAGGAAAAAGCTAATGACCTTAACCAGATTATCACCGTACGTTTTCTTAATGTCTCATTCATAATGTCAAGGACAAAGCTAATGACCTTAACCAGACCTTGATCCTTAAATAAAACGTTTCATTGTATCTACTATAACTTAATAATGTTTTCTTCTTGGCCCTTTAAAAATTTGATTAAATTTTTAAATACAAATAATAGGAGGAACACCCCCTTTAAAATCAAGAGCTGTAAACGTTTTAGAAGCTTAATGTGTACAAGTGAAGATAAGGAACAGTGAACATCCTCAAATACAGTAAATAAATTGAATCCCTAATGAAGCGAAATCACGAATTCCTGAAAACTCCAGAAAGGAGGAAGGGGATCAGGTACCAGGAGGAGTAAGTATCCCTCGACGACCAGACACACAGACCGTCAGTCCTAGGCATTGATAAAGTTCTCCATAGTCAAATTTAGTCTAAAAGCTATGACCTAACAACTTATACGTCAAATTATGCAAAAGATACAAGTATGCTGTTTTTATAAATATGTTCACCATAACGACTTTACACTTTACAAATAAAAAACACTTTACAAATAAAAAAAAACTGACTTTATACTTTGTTAAAATCTGGTAATATCAACTGGCATGTTTAATTCAAAAACTAGCCTTGAACACTGGATATACTAAATTATAAAATTTGTAATATTAAAAAAACTCAATCTGTCTGATCATGGGATCAAGGTCGAGCTAATTAGCAAGCTTGGGACGATAGAGAAAATATTAAGTAAATTCTAGCTTGCTATGAACAACTGATGAAATTTTTTTATAATCATTTTCTTTTTGACTGTTCATTGCATTAGTTATATAGATTATAATTAAACTAATGAACATTTAATTATTTATGATTTATTGTTATTGTTTATATCCTTTGATTTTCCTATTTGCATAAAGACTTAAGAGTTATTGTTTAAGTTATTCTCATTAATTTGTGAAAGGATGGGATAATGATGCAAAAAATTCAAAGCCAGGTGTTCGTTTTGTGTTAAGTGACGTCTGAAATGTGTCTTTCTCGTTTCTAAGGTGTTGATTTTTATATTGATTGGACGATTATGTGGGGCGAGATCAAGAGGATTGACTGATTCCGGTTAATTCATCACCTTTATCACCCCCTCCCCCAAGTCTTACATCCAAAGGCATTGGACACTGCCACGAATCCATTCTAGCTATTTTTAGGTCACCTGGGTGAGGTAATTAATTCTTGGAAAATCTCTTCTGCTCCCGGGATAAACCATATACATAGTAATGAAGAGGAAGAACCTCTTCCAGTATTATGAATTTCCCGGCTCCTGGATCCGGGTTGTTTTAGGGTAGGGCTCTATTGATTATATAATGAAAATGCATTAATTGTTTGAACATCTCCTCCTCTTCTCCAGGGTATTACGCCCTAAGTATCTTAGTACATAATAATGATGAGGAAAGGTGCTTCTTCCAAAATGCACAATGTCATGGGGATCAGATACTGAAAATGTATTAATGCTTTGAAGTCTGCTGTATGGTATTAATCAATCACTTATGATAAGCAAAGGTGCCTTTTCGAAAATTATGAAAAATGTGGCCCCAGGTTCAGTGGTTCCAGTGGGGTAGGGCACTTCTAATTATATAGTGGATATGGATTTTTTCTTTAATCCTCTAATCTGCATCTTGGTACTAGTGAAAGTAAGCGTGCTAAGTGTATAGTAGTGATTAGCAAGGGTTCCTCTATCAAAAATGTAAATTTCATGGCCTCTGGTTTAAAACACGAACCAAATTCAATTGTTGGAAATTTGTTCATGATACTGAGGAGACCTACAAGGTCCGTGTGCCTCTTGTTTCTTATTACATATTGTAATTAACAATTTAGTCAATATGTCACTCGTAACACCATGGCAATGTAGATGATTGCTAAAATACTCATATTCCTGTGTCTTTAACAGTATTCCAAGGGCTGATACTATATACATTTGAAAATGAGATAATAAATACTTAATTCACTTGAAAAAAATGGAAGACTGCAAATAGTTCTTCAGTTTTCTTTTAAACTTTTAACTTTGTTTTACGTGAAAACCAAACGTCCCTATTTAACTCAATTTATCTGTGGCAAATATAAATGTATATAAGAATAATTTAATTCTAGCTGTATTTGATTGGATAAAAAATTTACTTTATATCGTTTAAAATGGGTTGCCTACGCCTGACGTTACATTCATATTTTGTACAAATTGACGTTATTTTTTTTTTTTAAACAAACATCTTTTTTCCTACACCAAATGAATGAAAATTTATAAATCTGCCCCAACCCAGTTTATACCGTATACAATGGGTAGCTATAAAAATCATTCCTTAATTAAAAAAGATTCTTTTTGTGTAAAATAAAAATTACGACCACTTAGTGAGATTTGCGGCATAATAAAGAAGTACTCTTATAAATCAATCGAGAACCAAGCAATAACTGTCACTGCTCTTCAAATATAGTTGTCTCATTTTAATAAAGAGAGTTAATTATCTACAAATACAGATCTATAGAAAAATATGATTTCTACACTCTCATACCCATTTAAAGATTAAAAAAATTCTAAAGATATTTCTTTTCATAAAAAAGGGAAGAACAAATTCTGTTGTAAAGTGATATCTTGTTAAAGTTTGAAATAAAACTCTTTAACATCAAAGATACATTATGCAACTTTTATGCAGTGACCTAAACTTAGTGTCTGACCGCATAGACGTGCGTTAATAACATTTGTTGAAAAACTAATGATTAATTAAAGTAATACTTGTAAATTAGATTTAAGGTTCTGTTATTTTCAGAAACTTCAAACATTGCACTGAAAACAAACTCCTAAAATAGTCCAGTTTACAAGTTTTTACACATTAAACAAAAGACAACGAAGAAGGTTTTCGCAGTCTTTTCTCAGTTCATTTAGACAATAATGGTTGACACAAACAATTAAACTTCAAGTCAAGATGATCTTATTTCTCTACAGACTGAAAAAGAAGATTGGAACTGATCAAACATACTATAAAACACTTTGTACATGTGTGTTTAGAATCAAAAATGTTATTCCTTAGAGATAAACAACAAAGAGCTCGAGAGGAAACGTAAGAAGATAGATGTCCCTTGTGTGGTCATGTAAGACAGCGAGGAACATCGTGTTTAGAGGAGAACTTTCTATACACTTCCGTGTCTCCGATATAAATAATAGCACGCTGAAGTTTTTACTGGATATTCTAGCCACGGTTGTGAATTTATGGTAGTAAAAATATTCTAATTTAAATTATTATACCTTAAATAGAGGTTATTTTTAAATTTAAATATTTGAAATTGCACACCTTTTAAAATATTTCATGGTGAAAATACATATTTCAAAGGCAAAGTGAAATAAGATTTCTAAAGTGGTGTTTATCTGGGACACTGTATACTCCATTTGCAATAATGACGAAAGGACATTGTGAATTTTGATGCAATATAGGGGTGCCAGTGAGCAACTAATAGAAAACAGGAATAATTATATACGACTTTGATACAAAAATAAACAATATAGTGATTGGATCAATAAATCTATTTTATATTTTAATAATTTCCAGGTTATATTATAATCACCATAAAATTTATATTTGCAAATCCGCATGCACCAAAATCGATTGTTGGAGAATATCAAAAAATATTGCCTAGTCTTATGTCATGTCAAAGCTATTAATAAAAAACTGAAATGAAAAATTAGGACTTAATATGGACTTAATTACCTCTTTTAATCGAAGGAAAAAAACAATTTAGGAACATATTAAACAAGGAAATGTTTCGAACATGATGCTTACCATATTGCATTGTCACAGCCTTTACGCAACAAATTAAAGTTACACATCCATAAAAAACTAGAATTGTATTGACGACAAACATGTTTTCTCCGGGGCCGCCTGTGATTGCCTGTCGAGTCTCTTCATTAAGTTAACTTATATATAATCGTTGTCCTTACTACAAACTGTCATGACAGATTTAATGAGGCTTACAGAGAGGGTCCACATTGACAGACAATTGAATCTCTGCAACTTCCGTATTGTCAATTTATACAAAAATCTCGCGCGCAATTTCGTGATGCATGACGGGAGGTGTCGGCTGCTGCTTACACAGGCTCCTCGAATTCTATTTGTGGTTACCCGTTTGACAAAGAAGGGTCCTTAAAGACTGCGGTAGATAAATTAAATGGTCATTTCTTTGTTTATCTTTGGTTTTACGGAGAAATCTTATTAATATCACATCTGATGAGAAGTGATGTTTACATGTTGATATGGAATTTTCTAAATGACTGTCCGGATTACTCATTTTCTTTTTAGGACACTAGGAAATGACATGACCGAATTAGACAAACAGTAAGACATACACATGTAACAAATGATTACCAGAAGGTCATTAATAACACGGGAGGGATTTCGTCGTATTACATTAATGAACAGAAAACTCCTTAAAACTTACGGACAGAGTTAATATATTTCATTTAAAGTTGTACAATATGAATGATTTATGCGGATTCTGAATTTTATATATGTATTGTAAATTGAAGATGTACATGGTATCCCACAAAATGAAAGATCATGCATTTAATTGCTTAAGGTCATACGCAACATAGTTTGAACTTTATTGGGTTCTTCCCTGGAGTTGAAGAGTTCCACTTAATAAAGAACCTGTGTGCAGTACTTTTAATGTATATATATCGATTTGTACACGTCTTCTAAAACAAATTTTGATGGAAAAAAATCTTTAAATAATGTTTTGTAATTTTTCTTTGAATAATGCAAAAATTTTCAGAATTTGATATCTTCCAAAAACCCCTGGTAATGCATACTGATATTTTGTCTATGAACATCTGATGGCACTATAATCTTTAATTAAGAATATCTTTAAAAATTATCAGTAGGTAAGGATCTTTGCGTATGTCATTAGTGAATTTTTGTTTCATTGACTTTTTGAGCTTGAACACTGTTAGTTATCTCAATGGATTACCCCAAGTAAACATAAACAAGAGTCCCATGGGCCACATCGCTCACCTGAGCACTGGGGCTAGAGAAAAGCAAAAAATCGATCCAGTATTGAAGATGCTTCCATATAAAGGACCAATCATGGCTTTGTTGATCATAAGAGAAATATTTCTAATGATTCTTTCTATATATTCCTAGGTAAAACTTTGATCGTCCATTGTGGCCCCACTCTACCCCCAGGGGTCATGATTTGAACAAACTTAATTCTACACGACCTGGGGATGCTTTTATATAAGTACATGTATGGTCAATCATGGCTTTGCTGTTCTCGAGAAGATTTTTCTTGAAAAGAAGATTTTTTCTATAAATTCCTATGTAAAACATTGACCGTCCATTGTGGCCCTACCCTTCCCTCAAGGGTCATGATTTGAAAACAAACTTGAATCTACACAACCTGAGGATGCTTGCATATAAATATGACCTATCATGGCTTCTTTGTTCTTGAGAAGATGTTTCCTATCTATTCCTAATAAAAGCTTTTATTGACCATTGTGAGCCCACCCTACCCCCAGGGTTCATGATATGTGATATGGACAAACTTGATTCTACACTACCTGAGGATGCTTCTACATAAATATTGCCGATCACGGCTTTGTTGTTCTTGAGTAGAATATTTTTCCTATATATTCCTATGTAAAAATTTGACCGTCCATTGTGGCCTCAACTAAACACAAGGGGTCATGATTTGAAAAAAAACTTAAATCTTTATAACCTGAGAATGCTTCCATATAAATATGGTCAATCTTGGCTTTGTTATTCTTGAGAAGAGATTTTAAAAATTCCTCCTGTATATTCCTACGTAAAAATTTGATCGTCTATTGTGGCCCTGCCCTACCCACGGGGAGGGGGTTTTGATTTGAACAAACTTGAATCTACAATACCTGAAGATGTTTCCACATTAGTGTCATCTTTCCTGACACAGTGGTTCTTCAGAAAATATTTTTTTAAGCATGCAACAAATTTCACTGTGAAAGAGGGGGTGGCCCTTAATTTGAACAAACTTGAATTTCCTTAACCCAAGGATGCTTTGTGGCAAGTATGATTGAAATCGGCCCAGTGGTTCTGGAGAAGTCGAAAGTGTTAAAAGTTTACAGATAGACAACAGACAGACGGACGGACGCCGGACAAAATGTGATCAGAAAAGCTACTTGAGCTTTCAGCTCAGATGAGCTAAATTTCTTCGTATAAATTAGCAAACAATTTTAGATCCATCTATAGGAATGATGTACTAGGAAAGAGACTGCAATATATTATTTCATTTCTAACACTGTAGTTTTTAAGAAACACCGTTCTTAAAAAGATACATTTTATGCCCCTTGATCGAATGATCCCGGGGATATTTTGAGCGCTGAAAATTATTTCATAAACAGGGGTCTAGGTTCGATTCTCGTTCGCGGCGCTGTAAGTTAACAGAATGATGACTATTCCTTGGTCATGTACTTGACATTAACAGTTACAGTAAAAAAAATTGATAACAAATATTAAAGTCTTAATATGAACAAAACTGCAAAAAATTGTATTCTGAGCAAGGGAACCAAAACTTCATAATCATAGATTATATATAGAAATAATTGATACTAAAGATAAAAACTTTGAGTGACTGGAATTTCCTTTTGCATTTTTCCTCATGAACAGACTTAAAATGCATAAATCATTTAATTTTTTAATTAATTGCGCTAAAAGATGTTCTTTATGCTGTTCAATCATATCCTGTATGATAGTATAACTTTTTAAAAAGTAAGTAAAGTTTAAATGAAACTTGGACAAGAAATGTAAAATTTCATTTATTCATATCACAAACAGAGGTCATATATAAAACAAGAGGCCCTTGTACCACAACGCTCACCTGAGTAACTTTGGCCCTACTGTTCTTCAGATTCTTACCAGTGTAATACCTACTGTGGCATAACCCTATGGACTGTAGGTCATGATTTGAAAAATGTAGAATCTTCACTACCTTAGGATGCTTCCATATGAGTCGCAGCTTTTCTGCCCCAGTGGTTCTTGAGAAGAAGATTTTTAAAGATTTTTCCTATATATTTCAGAGTAAAATTGGAATCCCTATTAGGCACCGGCCGCCCTACCCCCAGGGGTCATGATTTAAACAATGAGAATCTACACTATCCCAGGATGCTTCCACACAAGTTTCAGCTTTCCTGGCCCAGTGGTTCTTGAGGAGAGAGATTTTTCCTATATATTTCAAGGTAAAAATTGGACTCCCTATTGTGGCCCCGCCCTACCTCCGGGGATCATGATATGAAGAATTTAGCATCTACACTATGCCAGGATGTTTCCATATAAGTTTCACTTTCCTGGCCCAGTGATTCTTGGAAAGAAGTGCATGTAGTTAAATTAAGTAATTTTTTTGTTAAAAGTGCGTTGGACTGTTGTATTGTCTTGGGTGGGGGTAGTATATATATTTTCTTTAATGTTCTTACCTTTTATTCAAGGTTGTTACTTAGCAGTAAAAATGAATGCATATTTAGACACAGCAACACCCTTTTTTCTTATTTTTTTTTTAATAAATAAAACCGCGAATTATTGTAGAGACACTTCCTTAAGATTACGTTGTGTCAAAAGGAATCAACTAAAATATTTCCTTATAACTAAAATTGAAGAGTATTGTCTGTAAGTATCACAATTTTAACGTAATAAAAAGTTTTTTCCGTCAATGTGACCACGTCAAATGTCAAACATGACATTTCTAAATAAACGAAGTCTCTAAACAATCTTCTCATATATCTTTATTTACGTTAAATTTACCATCGCAATATATGAAAAAAATCATGCCAAAGAGGCATGAAATGAATAAAAAGTAACTTGAACTAGTGCTAATTGTAACGGGGACCGTTACAGATGTTCCCCAAACGCTCCCCAACACTTTTTGGTGTCACATTCCCCGTAAGCTTAATTAAAGAAGACAAATTCCATGCATTTGAGAATTTAACAACATTTACCCAGAAGTGAACCAAGTTTATTCAAATTTTAGCATTGCACGCGTGCGCATGTAAATGCATGTGCATAATGACCATATCATCTTGTCTACATAATTAATATATATTAACATACTAAATATTAAAATTTTTATTCCAAAAGTATTAAATATACGCTCATTCAAGTGTATTTTTGATTTTACTCATTTCACGTGCATGCACGTGCATAGATGAGCATGGTGACCATACCTTCTTGTAGAAGTCCTTTACATCTATATGTATGTTCTAAATCCCACCCCTTTTGGTTGAAAACCAAGGGGGTTATAGCTGTTTAAAGTTTAAGCCAATCAGAGTGCAGCGCACGTACACGCACGTGTATGCATGTGCATTGTGTCCATACCTTCTTGTAGATCTCCATTATATCTCTCTATGTTCCAAATCCCATCCTGTTTGGTTGAAAACCAAACATTAGCTATTTGAAATTTGAGCCAATCAGATTGCAGCGCACGTGCATGCACGTGTTTTCATGACAATTGCTATTTATCATCTTGTAGGATATCCTAATGCATGGCTATGTTCAAAATTTCAAAGGATTTCGTCAAAAAATAAGAGAGATATTGGAAATAGCCAATCAGAGCGAAGCGCACATGCATGCGCGTGAGATCTGTGTGTGTGTCATATTGTGTATGCTACTAATATATCCTTATATTATGAGTTTCAAAGCATTTCATCAAAAATGTAAAAAGTTACGCCTATATCAATTAAATCGGTCATTTCATGTGTTGCACGTGCACGCTCTTGCAAGCACGTGCACGCAAAATGACATTTGTTCCGCAAATCTACATAACATGTCTACTGACCCTAAAAAGGTTTTACCTAAGTCGGATGTGTAGTTTACAAGATCACTCCGGGACAAAAAAGTACCCAGGAAGAAGAAGAAGAAGAAGAAAAATAATAATAATAAGAAACAGAGTAAAAACAATATGTTCCCCAACTTCGTTAACATAAAGATATGTTATATACATATAGGTCACAAAAGCACGTATTACATACAGAGAACATTACATACTATATT